TCTGAGAGATTGTGTGTTTGAAGAAGAAAGAGAGAGAGAAATGAGTCAAAAAGAAACCACAACTCTGTGTGTTTGAATGCAGAAACAGAGTACGAGTTCATAAAGACTCAAAAAGATATCTTATTTATGATTTAACCCCTATGAACAGTTATAAATTACAGTCAAAGAAGCTAATTTTCTGATTCTGTGTTGATCTTCTTCTTCGATTTGCTTTTTGAATCCGTACAAGTACTTTACTACTTCCCATCTCTTATCTCTTTCTCTGTTTTGATTTTCCAGTTTTTTTTACTTTTCGTGCGATACAAAGAAAATCATTAATGCAAATAAAGTGCTTTTTCTGTTTTACAATAACTCTACTTTTTGGTGCAATGTTATTTACTTATTTTCTCTTTCAATTGTTTGATTAAAATTAAAAAAAAAAATCTTGAGTATACTTTCTCGACGACAAAAAAAAAAAAGAGTATACTTTCTTGAAATATGTTCAGATGTTTGCAAATGTTATTTATCGATTATCACTGATAAAGATAATATAACACAGACACACACTTTTAGCATCTATATACAAATTCACACGAAATGCATGTATGACTAATTATCTTACAATTTTATATCAAAAAATGTGAATAAATATTGAAAAATTGATCACTCATTGACTCCATTTGACTTCATCTTTATATATCTATTTTACATAGTTCCTTTATATATTTTTTTTATTCGACTCTTTTTCATTTTCCAATTTTATTTACCCACAAATTAAAAAAAATGGTTTTACCACTAAAAATTTTGGATTCTAAATTCATTTGGAGTTTAATTAGTGAGTCCTTTAACAAAATTTTAATATTACAATGGGATAATGTGTTAAGTCCCAATTTGTGTACATGTAGTAGTAGTTACTAACTTACTAGTTAGAGTATCTTATGAACTCCACAAAACTAGAACTCGTTAGATTAAAGTTTCTTAAAGCAAGATAATAATATTACTGTTTCTTGTGCCTTTTAAAGAGAGGGTTACATAAGAATCTAACACACAACTCCAATGATTCTTCCAGGCATCATCTCATTCTCATCACCCCTCAAGTTGATCTTCTGCATTGATTTTGGAATACAATTTGTTGGGAAGTTTTGGAGACGAGTCAGAGACAAGCCTTGAACTTGCCTTTGTTTTCGAATTCAACGGCTCTTGTATTGGAGACCTCGCGGGTTGAGACTTTCCAGACTTCTTACTGGCAGATGACGATGATCCATGTCTGGCCTGTTTAACAAAAGGGAGAGAGAGAGACATCAGTAACAATCTTAAGGGACAAACAGTATGCAAAATTTTGGTTACTATTTCTTTTTTTCCATGGATTTTGGGGACTTACTCCATCAAAGAAACCAATTTTTGGTGATGGCACACGGAGACCCGATGGTTTCCCGGAAGCTGAAGGAACCAAACCACCATTGATAGCTGAAACTCGTTTACTGCCTTCCTTAGCATCAGCTTGAACAACAGATGCATCTTTAGAGTTCTTGAGAGGCTTCACAGTCTGCGCTGAGTTATCATTCAAAGGACTCTTTTCGCCAGAGACGGTTTTCTGGTTGCTTTTAGCCATTTTGCTAGTTGCAGAAGCTCGTGATGACTCTGATGAACAGTCACTGATAGAGCCAGCAGAGGGTACACTAGAGGAAAGCTTGGGCTTGGATGTCTTATTGGTTGGGTGTGGTGGGATTCTCGGCTGGCCCATTATACCCCTAGATGTAGATCGGTTTGCCAATGACTGGGAAGCTAATCTGGAACTTAAATCATTCTTCTTCTTTATCGAATCTAGAGAAGATTTGTGGGAAGCGCTAGATGAAGCACTGGCACAGCTCTCTAGTGAAGCACAGGAAGAAGTCAATTCATTCTTTGAGGCAGCTGAAGAACGTAAAGTTGACTTAAGCACAACAGGTTTTGGCAATGTGGGTCTAGCACTTCGCGAATTGGATACTTTGTGACCCAAAGGCTCTTTACCTGTATAATTCAAGGTCATCAAATATGTACGTAAAAAGACAAGTAATAAAATCATCAAGATAGAGTTCTGACTAACCCGCAGGTAATTTGGAATTCTTTTCTTGCTTGGTTTTGCTGATATCTAGTGATGCCCTGTTCGTTGATGTTGTTGGCAAAGACCTGGCTTTGCTGAGTCCATTAGGTGGCTTGGAAATGGATGTACTGAGACCTCTTGTAGCAACAGGCTGTAGAAAATGTATCATTAATAAATTATCAACTATCAGGGTAAGCCATTACAAGCTAGTGATGACAAGCTCCTAATTCATAAGTTCAACTAAGACAGTTTGAGTTCATTAAACCGCTAAAACCGAGAAGAAACCCATTATTCTCAAGCTGTCAGATGAAACTTGAGCCTAAGACATAAATCTTTGAATCAATATGCACCTGAGAAAGAGAATGAAGATGATATACCTGTTTTGTTGCTTTCCCTAGTCCTTGTGCTCTAATACTCGGCTTCTTAGGACTGGCTTTGGGTTTCATCTAAGAAATTAATAAAATCAAAGAAAGGTTTAGCCAAGGAGAGAGGTAAAGAGAAAACACAGGGTGCACTTGTCAACAGATTTACCTTTTCCTGAGAGGGAAGGACGTCCAATGTACTTGAAGCTGGAATTTCAATTAAAAAGGTATGCAAAATATGGTCAACTTGGTAACAAAACTTAACATGAATTCAGTATTGCTGCTGCAAATGCGTACCATCTAGTGTAAACACATTGGAACAGTAATTCCAATGGCATGAAACAAAAACACAGTTGCTGAACACTCTTCAAAGTACGATGGAAAACTAGGCATCTAAGGTCAGCTCACATTTAGATACTAGCTCTCCAAGAAGCCATTAAGAGAGATAGAGAGGCACTGTCTCATAATTGTGAAGAAAAGCTCAAACACAAAATTAAAAGTAGACCTTGTGCTTTATAGAAATCCATTAATAGACAAAAGCTCAAGCTAGACCATAGAAACTGATTACATGTAAAGATACATGCCAATGTGTGGTGAAGGCATATATCTCTTTAAACAGACAAAGCTTCCTTTCCCTCTAAACGAGATAAACAATAACGAAGACTTACTTGGGCTTGTTGCTACTTCTATTGCTCCCAGCTCATTATTTTTCCCCGGTGTTGCAGCATCAGATGCTTTAGCAGATCTCTGAATAGAAGCTCTTACATCTTCAAACAAAACAAACTCCTGACTGTTTTCCACAGTGCAGTCACTTTGAAATGTAGAGATAGATTCTGTTGATCTATTAATATCTTCTTCAATGGTAGGTAAAGCTTTCCTTCCACTCTTATGATTGCTTTCCATCATGCTGGACAGTTCTTCGGGTTCCAAAACACCTGATTTCGACAATAAATCACTCAGCAAAAGTACGCAAAATACAAACAAACTACTAAAAAAATCTGAAAAGGTAACAAAAGGTACCTCGTTCGAAATTCACTTACCTGCACTCGTGAAGAACGCATTGTCCCAGGCAAGACTTTTACGCAAGTTATACTTGCCACTCTTCATCACTTTCTGAGGTTCAGGCGACTCGTGAGGTTGAAGCACTTCTTCCTTTTCTTCTTTCGAAGAGACCAGTATCTCTTCATCACAGCATCGTGCATCGCTCAAGATACTTTGATCTTTCTCATCCTTGAAACATTTTTCATCATCATCTGCCTCTGAATGTTATCATAAGCCCAAAATGTAAGCACAACGCAAAGAAACAATCAACAAAATACAATTCAAATGCAAATGCTAGCTCTCTACAATAATCAACAGTCGCCTTCCACTGTGAAATGGATCTAAGTTCCGAGTCTAAGTCCTGCATCAGACACTGAACTGAAATCCAAGAACTCATCGTAATCTAATCACCATGAACACTAAAGAAATCTATAAATCCCGCCTTGAATTTCTCCAAGTATCTATCTTTCTCTACAAAAAAGCAAATTCGGGAAATTTAACAAAACCCTGCCCAGAACCCAATTGAAATCCAAAATCAAAAGTAAATTACCGGAAAAATCGTAGCTTGTAGGGTCGGGAAACGAGGAGAAGAGGAGACTATCGTCCTCAGCAGCGACATCAATCAGCCCAAGGCCATCGACCTCGACCTCGCTTTTCTTGGTCTCGTTTTTGTCTTCCATGAACAAAAATGGGCGAAAAATCAAAAAAAATGTCGAAACTTTGTGGTCTTGCTCAAGATCCCAGGGATT